CTCTTCTTCTTAAATATATGCATTTTGATCTCATTATTTGTGTAATGATTCTTCGCTTAACGCTTATATCGGCTTGATCAACCGTTGTATGATTTTTGGCTTTTGAATCCAGTTGGAAAACGCTTTCGAAAACCCGAACTAAATCTTGCACCTAATCACCTCTTGTTCTAGGAATAGACTTGATTTGGTTAGTCACATTGTTCAAGTTATTGTTCTTAATGCGAAGTGTTAGACTCAAAACATTGAGGAATCATGTTTTGAGCTTAATGACTTTAGGATTCAACCTTGAGGAATCTTGTTGAATATTTTGAGAAGAACAAGCTTAAAGAAGCTCTTGCGAAATTACTAAACCTAAATTGGACACTTTGTGAAATGGTTTCACCGTAAATTGCTTCACGAACGATTATATTGAGGGGGAAGAAGAAGAAGTTTGAGCGTGATAGGTTTTCGCAGGTAAAGTTTCCGCATAACATTCTAAGTTAGGTTTTTTTAATTTTAAATTTAAGTTCTTTAATTCTTTTATTTTTACTCTCTTAATTCTTTTAATAAAAATATAAATATAGTTTAATTAAGTTGTCCACGCGGTCACATAAAGAGATAATTAGATACTTACATATTGTGGCGGTTTAAAACTCCCAAAACTTTAATTATTTTGTGGGGGTCAAGATAATCCCTAGAATTACAACATTTTTTGGCTGTTTATTAAAATTGCTAGAAAAAAATCGCCACTAATTAACTAAATTTTTGTAGTGATAAGTCTTTGAAGACTTTTACCTATATTGACAATTTGTTGGTAGAAGAACTTTAAGTTATATTGAGTTTTGCCTACATTAAATAAAAGTAGGTATAGATTTTTGAGTTATACCTACATTAAACATTTGTAGGTAAATTTTTTTTTTTAGTTTTACCTACACTAATTTAGGTCTATAGGTAAAAGTGTCTGTAGGCATATGTTATTTTTTTTGTAAAATGTCTACACAAATGATAACCTAGCTCGTCCGGAGGGATCAAACAAAATAAGCCACCTCTAACGTGACTCACAAAACATCACTCCAAGCTAGTATCCATTCTTGTCCTGTTCACATACAAAGTATGGTCATAGTGGTTCTAATCACCAAAAAAATGGTCTTATGAAAGAAACAATAAGTACAACAAAGCATATATCAACAACAACACAACTCATAACTTAATAACTTGTTCAACATTTATCAACTTCAAATTACTCAACATCTCAACATACACACACACACACACACACACACACACACACACATATATATATATGAGGAGAGATCCGTTTATTCTAGGAGTAAATCTACCTAGACTTATTCCGTTTCATAACTCATATTTTACATTAAATTTCAACGATTCAACTATTGAATTTAAAATTACTAATGCATAAATCAAGTCCACAAATTTTAAAAAAAATTGAAAATCATTTGATACTTCATTTCATTAACTCAAATCAACGTGTAAAATGAGTTTATGAATATTTGTCAATTTGAATTAATGTAACAAAGTCTCAAATGATTTTCAAATTTTTTAAAATTTATAGACTTAATTTTTGCATTATCAACTTTAAATTCAATTGGATCATTAAAATTTGATGTAAAACATGAGTTATTGAATAGAGTAAGTTTAGGTAGACTTACTCTTAGAGTAAATGGACCCTCTTATATATATATATATATATATATATATATATATATATA